AGAAACAAACACACAGGCACTTTGAATCTGAGTATATTTTGCAGCTCTCAAACAAGGCTTTTTCTATAGAGATATTTTCTCAGGGGATGTTTTTGTTAAGCAAACCCAAACATATGACTTTATTGTTACTTGGCACAGTGACACAGAAATCCAAAACATAGAATCATCCAGCATTAATCAAAACACAAAATCATCCTTGATTAACCACATATTTCTTAAATAAAATTAATAAATTTTTATGGTCAGTTATTGTTTAACATCTATTACCTAGTTCCTGTGACTTTTTGAAACATTGAGATATTTTAACTCTTTCTTATTAAAAGCTTTTTTTTACCAGACACTTAAGCCCACTCTCTATGACATATGTACAGCCATATGAAATTTTATTGTTGGGAAAGTGTTTACTATTTGTACTTATGTGAATGACATGAATGATTTGGAAAGCGCTGGTTTTTCCTGAGATGAGGTCATTCATGGCTAGTGACCCCATCTCAGGGGATGGTTTCTTATCTATTTCTTTTGCTTAAAATGTCAGCATAGGCTTTTAGGAACATTTTGTTAAAATGAAAAAGGAATAGAAGAACAAACAGAAATTGCCACGAGAATCACAGCCCAATATTTTTCTCCAACAGAGAGTTTCACAACCAGTTCCCGGAGACCTCCTTCTTTTGAAGTTATCGCCTCAGTCTGTGGAACTCGTCACACAGAATCTACTGGATTTGGTGTGATACGGGAGGAAGTGTGTTAGTGGGGGCAGGCTTTGAGAGTTTACAGCCTTGCCTTATTTCAGATTCACTCTCTTTCTTCCTTTGTATTACTGGGATGCGCTTCCTGCTCTGCCCACTTGCTACCATGCCTCCCCAGCCAGGGTGGTGCATGTGTGGAGGTCAGAGGTCAACTTCCAGGAGTCAGTTCTCTTTTTTCTACAGTGCATGTACCAGGAGTTGAACATCAATGATCAGCCTGGAAAGCAAGTGTGTTTCCTAGCTGAGTCACACCACCAATATGAACTTATCTTATTCATTTATTTAATCTTGAGACAGGATCTCATCGTGTAGCCCTGAACTGTCCTGGAACTTACTCTGTAGGCTAGACAAGCCTCAAACTCATAAAGATCTGCCTACCTCTGCCTCCCAATGGATGGGCTCAAAGGCATGTGCCACCATGCCCAGTGTCTTAGTTACTTTCTATTGCTGTGAAGAGACACCACAACCATTTTAAACAAAAGAGGGTTAGACTCCATCATGGTGGGGAACATGGCAGTAGGCAGAGGTGTTGCTAGAGCTAGCTGAGAAGTTACACCCTGATCCACAGGCATGAGGCAGACAGATCTAACTGGGTAAGACATGGGCTTTTGAAATCTTACAGCCCACTCCCAGTGACATACCTTGTCTACAAGGCCATACTTCTGAATCCTTCCTAAACAGCTCCACCAACAAAGACTAAGCATTCAAATACATGAGCCGAAGGGGGCATTCTCATTCAATCCACCCTACCAAGCTTTATTTATTCATTAGGATTAATTTAACTTATTAAGGCTGTAGAGATGGCTCAGAGGTTAAGAATATTACTTCTCTTGCAGAGGACCAGGGTTTAGTTCCCAGCACCCACACAGTGGCTCACAACTCCAGCCCCATAAGATCAAATGGCTTCTGGTTTTGCAGGCTTCTGCAACACATATGAACAAGCAGGCATACCACATTCACACAAAATTTTAAAATATTGTATTTAATTAATTCACTTATTGTGTGTGTTGGGATGTGTGTGGGTGCATTGGTACAGGGGCACACCAGTGGAGATCAGAGGACCACCTCCAGGGGTCAGTTCTCCCGCTACCATGGAGATCCTAAGGATGGAATTATGTCATCAGGTTTGGTGGCAGGTCCCTTACCTGCTGAGCCATCTAACCAACCCCTCTACATTATTTTTGAGACAAGGTCTCTCACTGGACTTGAAGCTCAATGATTGGCTAGACTAGCTGGCTAATGAGCCCCCGAAACTCCTGTCTTAGCATCCTAGTGCTGGGTCTATGGCTTACTCCAAAGCTTGTCCTGGCCTGGTTTCATTTTCAGACAAAGTCTTCCTATAGATCCTCGGCTGGCCTAGAACTCTCCATGAGAGCCAAGCTGGCCTTGAACTCACCTGCGATTCTCTTACCACTGAGGTGTACACCATTACACCTGGCTTTTGCTTATTTTTAAGATGGATTTCGGGGGTTCAAACCCAAGTCCTCACATTTGGATAGCAAGTGCTTTCTTTACCCCCACCTACCCACCCACCCAAGCCATCTGCTGAGTCATCTCTTTCTGTGTATATTGTGGAAGTCTCCTTTTTGGACAGGACACGGCCTCTGGCATCTTGAAATCAGAGAAGCTGTATCTAACCTCACAAGATCAGTCTGACAACTTAGGAGAGATGTAGAGTGTCAGACTCTCTTGAGTGTCAGTCCCCGCCCCCTGCTCCCCATACATACCCCCTTTGCAGTGTGGTCTGGGGAAGCACCACAGTGTTGAAGGTGGAAGGTGGTGGGGAGAGAGGTACATACTCCATCTATGCAGCTGTGGGAGGCAGTCAGCCTTCCTAGGGCGGATGCTGGTGGGAATGTGGCTGCCTAGGGGCCACCCATGCTTCTTTAAATAAACCCAATAAACTCATTGGTCCTCCCAACTGGACTTGGGTGGAATTGTTTCTTCAGTTTGTCACGAGTGTCCGTCCTATTGTGGGGTGAATTGATGTATGTTCGTGTCCTCCCAGGAGAAGTCACACAATCATAGGCCTGTAGGACCTATTGGTTCTTTTCTGCGGGAAGCAGTGACTCAAGCCAGGACAAGGCCTTGGGAGGAGGACAAGAGGCAGGCTTGGGAGAGGGATTACACAGACTCACACCGCAAGCCCTCCTTGCCTGTCACACCCATGGTAAGGTGTAGGATACCTGCCCTGGCTTGAGCTGTGCTGAGACGCTACTCCTAGGGGAGTCACTTGTAGTTACTGGAGGATTCAGGGCTGGAAGCAGGGTCTGGATACAGAGATGACCCTGGTCCAAATCCCTGATCACAAATTATTCTTCAAGAACCTTTACATGGCTAGTGGGAGGGCCCAGTGGGTGTTTGCAGTCAAGCTTGAGTTTGATCCCTGGAAAGCACATGGTAACGGGGAGAACCGACTCCTGTAAGTTGTCCTCTGACCTCCACACACGCACTGTGACTCTTCCTCAATAAATAAATGTAATGAAACTCATAAGAATGTTCTTTCCATCTTCCTCCCTCTCTCCTGGCTTCTTCCTTCCAGTCTAATTTCTTTTCTTCCTCCTCTCGTTTGAAAACAAACAAACAAACAAACAAGCAAACAAAAAACCAGCCCAGTGGTGGTGGCACACTGGGAAGGCAGAGGCTGGTGTATCTCTGTGAGTTCTAGGACAGCCAAGGCTACTCAGAGAAACCCTGTCTCCAAAACAAAAAACAAAACAAAACAAGGAATTCTTATTTGATCATTTAGATTGTTCAATTTCTAGCATCCAGGTAGGGTGACTCTGAACACCTGTAACTCCACCTCCGGACGATGTGTACCTCACACACACGTTGAGCCACCTTAGAAGCCATCCCTGTCCCTTCCTAATGGTGCACTGGTCCCCAGGAAAAAGGGTCTCTTCATGACTGCCCCTATTGACTTGACTTTAAGAAAAGTCTTTCCCCTTCCCTGAAATCCAGACCTTGGTCCCTCTAGGACCTATTGGATACATTTGACTGCTCTGTGAAGTTTGTCCCTCCAGGACCTATTGGATACATTTGACTGCTTTATGAAATTGGTTCTTCTAGGACCTATTGGATACATTTGACTGCTCTGTGAAGTTTGTCCTCCAGGACCTATTGGATACATTTGACTGCTTTATGAAATTGGTTCTTCTAGGACCTATTGGATACATTTGACTGCTCTGTGAGGTTGGTCCCTCCAGGACCTATTGGATACATTTGCTCTGTGAAGTTTGTCCCTCCAGGACCTATTGGATACATTTGCTCTGTGAAGTTTGTCCCTCCAGGACCTATTGGATACATTTGACTGCTCTGTGAGGTTGGTCCTTTCAGGACCTATTGGATACATTTGGCTGCTGTATGAATTGTCTCTCCAGTTTCTATCAGCTACATTTGGCTGCTCTATTTTCCTTCAGTAATAGAAAGCTAGTGTTTGTGCCAAATGGAGGGAGCCACAGTGAGCCTGGTCAGCTTAACTCGCAGATATATTCCTTTGTTGTTATTTGGATTAAGACAAGGTCTCCACATATTATCCCACCTGGTTTCAAACTCACAATCCTCCTGCCTCATCCGCCTCAGTGCTCAAGTTAGAGGCACAAGCCACCACATCTGTTTTGGAACCTCCAAATTTTACCAGTAATGACTGTGTGACCTCAAATAAGTTACTTACCTTTGGCATAAGGGTCACCTTGACGTTCGTTTGCTCTGGGGAGGTTGGCCCGTCCCTGCCACAGTGGCCTCTCTACCTTGTGTAAGACCCCTCTGCCTTTTCTCACTTTGGCAAGCTAGTCTAGGGAAAGAGGCTTTGTGCAATGCACACCTGTCTGAGGTGAGAGAGGAGAGCAAGCAAAGTGTCTCCTTCCACAGAGTGCCCATGAGGGCTTGCTTGAAGGTCAGAGAATCTGACTTGTGGTCCCACCTTTGCCCCCGAAGTCCTTGGCATTCACAGGCAGGTCTCTCTACCTCTAGGCCTAGACTTCCTCATCTGTAAAGTGAGCCTAAGAGTGACTATTCGGGGGTCAGGCATGGTGGCACACGCCTTCAATCCCAGCACTTGGGAGGCAGAGACAGGGGAATCTCTGTGAGCTGAAGGCCAGCATGGTGTACAAAACACTTCTACTCTGCCATAACCACACAGTGACACTTTGTTTTGGAAAAGAATGACTATTCAGGAGCTGGAGACTTGACTCACTCATAGAACTCTTGCCCAGCACCCACCAGTGAGGTGCTGAGCTCAGGGTGTGGCTCAGCAGTACCCTTGCCTGGCATGCATTCTATTCCCAGCTCTGGAGGGGTGAGGGGAGGATCCAAACCGCTAAAAAACTGTTCATTCAGTCTGCTTCACTGCTGTGAATAGACAAGGAATGGCTATTCAGCACTTTCAGAGGGTGGCCTGTGGACACGGGAAATATCTGTCCACCACGAGCTGACAAAGGATTCAAATCTGTTAGCCCAGCAGCAAAAAACGAGAGAGAGCAAGCAGAAAGCAGGCAAGAGGTATGGACTGACATCTCACCAAGAGAAAGGTAAATAGCGTATGGAGAGGTGTCCAACATGTCAGCCACTAGGGAAAGATTCAGGAGACCAATGGGTGGGGTGTGGCTCTGTGCTGGGGGCTTGCTTCGCCGCACAAGGTCCTCAGCTTAATCCCCAGTACCACAGAAAGGAGAAGGAAAAAGAGGAGGAGGAGGAGGGGAAAGCTCAGGTTTCAGATGTAGATTTGACTGGCACAAACTGGGGCTGTGTAAGCCTGTAGGTTAACTTGGAGTTTCTCCATGGAGGAATGGAAAGGGTTGGGGTTTCAAGCCAGAGAGACCTTGGTGTAACTCTCAACCCAGCCTTGTGACCTTGAGAAAAATCATTTCCACTCACTTTCCATATCCATGAAAAGGACACAATACTGTATACTTAGGGTTGTGTTTGTTTGTGTTAGTTTTTTTAAAGATTTATTTATTTATTTATTTATTATGTATACAGTGTTTTGCCTGCATGTATGACTGCACACCAGAAGACGGCACCAGATCTCATTACAGATGGTTGTGAGCCATCATGTGGTTGCTAGGAAATGAACTCAGGACCTCTGGAAGAGCAGCCAGTGCTCTTAATCTCTGAATCATCTCTCTAGTGCCTGTTTGTGTTATACTTAATTAACTAATTAATTAATTTGTTTAGGTAAGGTCTCCCTTTGTAGACCAGGCTGGCCTCAAACTCACAGAGATCCTCCTGCCTCAGCCCTTGAGTACAAGTACACTTGTACACTGGGAGTACAAGTTTAAGCCACCACTCCTGGCCTTAGAGGATTCATTCACTAGACAATTTCAGATAGTAAAGATATGTTCTGTTCCCACCCCACCGCAGACATCCTTCTGGGAGGATGTAAACAGACAGAGGCCTGGTGCTCACAGTGTACGTGGTTTCTTTTCTTTTCCTTCTACATCTATGGACATATGTGTCAGGCCTAAGAAGACACTAGGGACTTCTTCAGGACTCCCCATGGCCTCATTCCAAGAACAATAAGGCATAGCAAAGGCTGAGTTTTACTGGGCAGTATACATAAGTGCCCTTGTCATGTGTAGGGAGCTACTGCCTCACCATTTTGACAAATGGGGAAACTGAGGCTGAGCTGTCAGACAGTTGTCTGCAGAGAATACATGCCTGCTGAGTCAGGGGCCTGGCTAGCAGTTCTGGAATGCGGGAAAGCCATAAGTCATGCTCAGCTGCTGTGCTGACTCCCCAGGACTGTCAGCTGCACTCCATCATGGTGGGAGGCTGTGCCATGAATCACCCACACTCTGGCACTGAAGTCACCTGGGTGGAGCTAAGCTGGAGCAAGGGCTCCTTGACACCTCAGACAGGTCTGTCCTGACTGTGACATCTGCCCACGTGGGCAGATGTATCTGTATCTGTCATGCTCCAGGAAATTAGCCAAGCAGGTGCTGCAGGAGAGGCAGAGAGAGAAACTGAGGCTCGGGGAGGGCGGTGCCTAATGACAGGATTAGAAGGCAAACCAAAGATAGAGGATGGCTTTGGGGGAGCACTTTCTGTGTGCTAGGCATTTAAACTACAGAAGGCAGAAGGCCTTGGGCATGAGCAGATGTCAGCATGGGTGTGCTAAGAGAGCCTGGGGATCTACAACTTCTGCAGATTGAGCATGTCTGGGTGTTTGGGAAGGAGCCTGGGGACTTAGCAGTGTCTAAGAGGTTTCTGGGTGATTCTGTCTCTTGCTCCTTTAGTGTTTGGGAAGGAGCCTGGGGACTTAGCAGTGTCTAAGAGGTTTCTGGGTAATTCTGTCTCTTGCTCCTTTAGTGAAGTGAGACATTATGAAAATAACCAAGTCAGTTGTTTGTTTGTTTTGGAGACAGAAGCTCCCCATGCAGCCCAGGCTAGCCTGGAAGCCAAGATCATCTTGACTAACTTGCTGAGGGCTAGGATTATAAGTGTGAACTACTATGGCCAGTTTAAGAGTACCTAATTTAAGGCCGGGCAGTGGTGGCACAAGCCTTTAATCCCAGCACTTGGGAGGCAGAGGCAGGCAGAACTCTGTGAGTTCGAGACCAGCCTGGTCTACAAGAGCTAGTTCCAGGACAGCCTCCAAAGCCATAGAGAAACCCTGTCTCGAAACCACCCCCCCCCAAAAAAAAGAATACCTAATTTAGTCTAGCCTCCTTATACTGTCTTAAAAGGGGCCTTGAGCTGGGTGGTGGTGGTGCAGGCCTTTCATCCCAGCAGAGAGAGGCAGAGGAAGGCAGAGGCAGGCAAAGGGAGGCAGAGCTCTATAAATTCGAGACCATTCTTGTCTACAGAGTTCCAGGATAGCCAGGGCTGTTACACAGAGAAACCCTGTCTCAAAAACAACCAAACAAAAAAAATAGGGGTCTTGAAGTTTCTTATATACTGCTCTTAGGAGGAGAGCCCATGGCCTAGCCTATCAACACATTTCATTCATAGCAAGTTCTTATTTGAAAGGTGGAATTTTGCTTGTGTGCCCCTGAACAATGGCCATCCAGGCTCATCTCCGGGCCTCTGAATCACACAGTCTCATCAGATAGGAACTGTTGGAGAAAGGGGGAGAGTTACAGTTAAGTCTGTGGGCTTCCCTCACCCCTACATCCTCACCCCCACATTACTGAGACCTGTGGGCTGCTGTGTTCTCCGAATCAGCCCCATCATACACTGCAACTACTAAACATTGCCCGAGTCACAAGGATCCCCAAAGAGACCAGGGAGACAGACCACTGATGCTAATGCACTAGGCTTATTAAATTGTCCATCCTACCTCGAGAGGGACCCTTTCTAGCAAGCTGACACAGCAGCCTCCAGAGGGGGTGAAGTCCCTTTCTACTGCTAGATTTTAAAAACAAAAGTTACAGGATTACATCAGTAGGTACGGGTTGTTTTCTGATTGGTTGACATTTGGGAGAATTTGAGAATTTCTCAAAGTCATATTTTGGCATGAAATACCTGTGTACCAGGTATTCTATTGGTCAGTGCTGAGAGGGAACATTCTGTGGTTTCTATGGCTTTGTCTTGTTACTTGCAGGTGGCATGTTGTACATAGATACCAATAGTTTTTAGAACTGTATCCTGGAGACTACAGGGGAGGTTTTGGTCTCCTCTGGAGTTCCTTTTGTGGCCAAACAGTTCCCAGGAACCAAGTACCTAGGAGGCTGGTGGGGTGGGGGGTGTCTGGAGTTTCTTTGTGTTCAGTTTTAGCTCTAGGTTCCAGGAGACCAGAGGATCTGGAGTTTCCTATTTCAGAGGCCTATGTATCTTTCCTGTCATGGCTGCTAAAGCAGGGGCTGAGTGAGGGTCTGGTCCCTTTATTTCTAAATTATTAAAAGTGAAACCTTTGAGTTTAGTTTACCCCTTTCACTAACATACTTTATAAACCAAGTCTACCCAACAGTAACTCATTTAACATCATCAATGCAAAAAACAAAGGAAGGATGAGCAGGGCGTGGTGGTGGTGTGTGCTTTCAGTAATAGCCCTGGAAGCCGGGCAGTGGTACACACCTTTAATCCCAGCACTCTGGAGGCAGAGGCAGGCAGATACCTGTCAATTCGAGGTCAGCCTGGTCTAGAGAGTGAGTTACAAGACAGTCAAAGCTACAACAGAGAAATCCTGTCTTGAAAAACCAAGGAAAAAAAAAATCTTGGGAGACAGAGACAGTCTGATCTCGGTAAATTTGAGGCCAGTCTGGTGTACATAGTGAGTTTCGGGACAGCCATAGCTACATAGTGAGACTCTGTCTCAAAAAGAATCATTCTCTATTTTCTGTCCAGCCTTTACAATTCAGCATGCGTTTTTCACGCCCTACGCATGCATCTCAGTTAACTCAGTCCCAGTCCCCAGGCCCTGTCATCTCTGTGGCTGGCAGGCACAGTCCTTCTCAGCATACTTTGGAACTTCCCATGACCCTGCCCCTAGTCCCCTGTCTCTCTGTCCCTCAAGACACCCCTGTCAGTCCACAGCATGACTTCCAAGGGCTGTCTTCTGAACAGACCTGACCATGTGGCACCCCACTGACCCCTTGGTGTGGCTTCAGAGCTCCTGCCTCTCTGGCTTCCTCTGTCTCTTTTAACTCCATGATCCCCAACCCCCTAGCCCTATGGAATGATCTGTGTGTTACTTCCTTCTTCTTGGTGTGCCCCTCACTCCCCCCACCCCCCAACCCCCCACTGCCGCCACACACATCAGGCTATTCAGATCTCTCACTCATTCAGCAAAATTGACTGAATGCCTACTACACAGTGGTCACTGTCCCAGGTCCTACAGCAAATACTCTATGAGGAAATCTGTACAAGAAAATAACGTGTGTGTGTGTGTGGGGGGGGGACCATGAGTGAAGTAGGCTGAGGGGACATAGAGTTGGGGCTCCTGTTCTAGCAGGTTGATCAAGGCAGGCCCCTTGGGGGAGGTGACATTTAAACCGAGACAAAGAATGAAAGAGCCAGGTGGCTTTCTAGGGGAGAGTGTTCTGAATAGCACAGCCAGTGCACAGGCCCTGAGGTGGGTATCTATCTGGGCTGTGTCCTGAGAACCCGAGGGCTTGCATAGTGGGTATGGAACTGAAGTAGCTGCCCAATTGGACAACAGTGAAGGGCATGGCAGAAGCAAGGTGACAGTGATGGTAGTGGCAGACCTACATGGTGGCTGTGGAAGTGAGTGGGAGCCAGATTTAGGACAAATCAGAGGCTGTCCAGTAGGACTTGCCTCACAGGTCAAGTGTATACTAAGCTTGAGAGAATAGTCAAGGGTTGGGCCTGAGCTTAGGATGTGGGTGGCTCCTTTTCCAGAAGGCTCGTGGCTTTGCCTTTTGTCCCTGCTGACTGGTACTCCCCTAGACAGTGGCAGCACAGGGTGACAAGACAAAGGTGGCAGTTGTGTGATATTTCCTGCCTCTTGAAGACTGGGTTCCTACCCATCCTAGACAGGTGCTGCTCTCCTGCTCTGCCCTAGCTTTGGTTCAGTTCCCTTCCCGGGAGAAGCACTGCTCCTAGCTTTCAGCCCCTCTCCATGGTCCCT